GAACAAGGCAAGCTGGAGTGAAGCAGCTTTGGACAGAGGAAATCTGGTAAGCGGACTGACAAGTATTCATTATGGTATTAGAAAAAGTGATTAAGATAAGTGTGTTTAAGTCTCTAAAAGGAATAGGACATGGTACTGCACTTCTGTCATTCCAGCTATTCTGAGAAGCAGGGACAGGAGGATCATGAGTTTGAAGCTAGCCTGGACAATATAGTGCGACTGCATGTAAAATAGTAATTAAAGGAACAAGGAAGTGTGAAGTGAAAACCAAGTAGAATAAAAACTATTTCAAGGAGGAAAGAGAGGGGCACGAGGACTGTGAACTCACAGGCCAACCTGATAACAGCAGTCTGTAGAGGAGCAGAAGCAAGGGCGAAGACGAGCAGCACGAAGCACAGGGCTGCGCCCGTGAGCACACACCCCCTGCCAGTTCTCTACAGCCCGGCGGAGCCCAGCGAAGGGGCGTGAGGCAGGATGGACCCACTGCTCTGGAAACAGCAGGGCACCCATCTGCGGACCAGTCTATCATGCGGCAGAGTGCAGAATGGCTGCAGTCAACTCTGGAGTAGAGGCAAGGGGTGGAACCAGGCACAGGACCAAGAGAAGACGAGGCACTCGAGAGGACAGTGGCAGGGAGGTGGCCAGCTGGGAACTGCTGGTGAACATTCTCGCAAGAAGATGGAAAAGAAGGTCAGCTGCTGAGAGGAAATCAGTTAAGGTCTGAGGAACGAAACATTATCCAAGAGGACCTAAAGGGAACTTGAGCCTTCAACCATGCACAACAAGGGAGAATTGCTGAGCCGTGAGAGCAAACACAGAGCTGAAAGGGTTCACGGCAGGCCAGGACAAGGCAGAGAGGGAAGAGGGCAGTGGGCAGGGAGACTGGGTTGGTGTCTGGAAGAACCAGGAAACGGGTACTGCAGGAGCGGGCGTACCACAGGTGTGAGGAATCACAGGCGGCAGCAGGGAAGCAGGTGTCTGAGCAGGAGACGTGCAAGGACTTGAGTCCCCGCTGAGGGCAAGGATGGTGCTGTCACAGCCCACAAAGCAGCGGCCAGACAGCAAGGAGCTGCCCTGAGTTTTGGGACACACGCAGAACCAGAGGGAACAGGGGAGTGAGACAGTCTGAGACAGGACGTGACAGGGCAAGTACGGGGTCTTCTGTGTGAGCGTACAGGGGTTCAAGAGCACCCCAGGGGGACAAGAGGCCTCTGCCGACGCCCCTGAGGATGGAAGCATGCACACGGCCAGCTGACGGGACACGGACTGCATGGGCCTCTCAGAACACAAGGAATGCCTACCTTCTTTTTCAGGTGTGCCTCGCTGGGTTCTGGCCCTTTTTCCCATATGATGGCTAGATCATATGTCACACATCGGAGAGGAGAGGCAGAGGCAGTGGAGGACAGCAGTTTCTCTGCGGTGCTCACCAACATAGCAACTCACAGGTTTGCTTTGTTAACATATGTTATAAAATAATAACAACATGAACAGGAAAAAAGGCTCAAGGGCTTTAAACCGAGGGCATTACCAGCTGTCAATCAGGAACAAGAGGAAAGTCACAACTGGTCACCCTTCTATACTGATAACTTTATTTATTTATTTCATATATTTGGTACAGAGTCTCTCTATGCAGCTCAGACTCCCCAGAGCTGGGATTACAGGCGTGCAGCACCACACCCAGTCTCATTGGCCGGATCACAGTGCCAGTGGGTGGGGCCAGAACAGCATGTGGTGCCAGAGATGGAGCCCTGGTCCCCGCGCTTGCCTAAGCAGGCACTTAGTCTGCTGAGCTATCTCGCCAGCCCTTATACGGCTAGTTTTTAGGTGAGACATGAAAATTCAACTCCCATAATATAGTAACTTCCACAAGGCACAATGCTTTGAAGAAAAAATTAGTGTGACTCCTACAGTAAACCACCTCTTGCCATAGTTCAGGCACCTGTTTTTTAGGCAATGTGAAGCTGAGCTGGAAGGCAGCCACACAGCGGCTTCCACAGTGGCCGTGCTGTGCACCACACACACAGCCTGACACGCAGCCAGCTAGGAGCGAAACGCGAGCCTGGATGGTGGGAACGACCAGTGCCACAATGTATGTTTTTAAAGTATTTTACTCTCATTCTGCAATTCCTTTTGACACAGAGTAAAATTTAAAGCTTCTCATTGTTTTAAAATTTAAATAATTTCTGTGACAGCACACATTTGACATAATACTAATAAAATAAAATCCAGGAACATGGTCTCTCCTGCTAACCTATTTCTGCGCTTTCTTTAAAAGCAGTAACCCATGAAGTAGCATTCTCTTTTCGTCTTGTTCCCCGGCACAGAGTGACCAATATGCTCTACTGCAGCTCACACCTCCTAGTCCATCAGTCGGAGCTGCAGTCACTTAGAGCCTGCTCCCTACCGAAATCGTCTACCAAGGCTACTCGGCAGCAAACAGCAAAACCGCAATACTCATCCCAATGCGCCACTAAAGAGGGCCACTGAAGACACTTCAACCACAACAGGTGCAGGTGGCACGTGGCCGAGCAGGCCGGCGCGCCACCAGCCACACTGGCACTCACTGAGCTGCAATCCCTCGTCCCCGCTGAGCCCCAGCCGCCGCCCTGCAGCACTTCTGTGCTGACACTGGCTGGGATGTTCTTCGAGGTCGGTTTTGTTCTGTAATAGATTTAGCCCTCTAGCAAGTACTTCTCTCTGTTTCTTTACAAATGAACTCCTCTTGAAGAGCCCGAGTACAAGGACATTCTAGAAGAAACTTCCCTTCCATGGAATGGGAAAATGAGAACAGGCTACTTTTTTGTGCAGAACCAGGGATCGAACTCAGGCCCATGCGTTCGCAGGCAAGCGCTTATCTACTGAGCCGTCTCCCCGGCCCCACATTCTGTTTTGACTGGCTTTAACTCCAATTATTCGATGCAGAGAGGACCACGTTTCCCACTTTCTGGTCTGTACGACAGAAACAGCAAACACCTCAGCCCGAAATACAATCGCGCAGCACACGAGGCGGCTGGACGCCTGCTCTTTACAGCTCAGGCGTGCTCATCGAAATGAGACACATTAATTTTAATATCGGCTACTTTAATAGAACTGTACAAAGCTGAACTGTTGGCTGAAGTTTGTGATTCTGAAACTAAGTGAACTTAAATGTTAAAGTAGCTTTAATAAAGTTAGAGGAATAAAAGATAAATGTAGTTCTAGTCTAAAGCTTATCTTAAGGTCCGGCCAAATAGTTCAGTGGATTAAAGGCCAAGGGTTCGATCCCAGGCCTGCCATGCCAGCCCCGCCCCAGCAACTGAGACTGGGCGCGGTGGCTCGGGCCTATAATCCCAGCACTTGGGAGGCTGTGAACAGGCGGATCACTGTAAGTCCCATCTAGTAGTGAGACCCAGAACACCCTGTAGACCCTTCCCTAAAATACAAAAAATAAATACATAAATAAAACTTATCTGTACATAATGTTACCATCAAAAATTCTCTAGAATAGACACAAACTGGAATTTTTTCATCTGAGAACAAAATTATAAATTTTATTAACACTTTTGGATTGATGATTTAAATGTATTATTTATAATTAAAGAAAGCTATATTTCTTCCTACTTCTCAACATTCCATAAAGTAACTTCCTATTTTATACCTACTTTTAAAAATTATGATTCTGAAATATAACGGCTTGCTTTGGTGAGGAATGGCACCTTTCCAATATTTTTTAAAGAACATGTGAAAGAATCACAGTGATACGCGCTTGATCGTGTTCCTAGCAGCGCAACTCGCAACGCCCAGATGCTGGCAGCGGCCCACGTGAGCACCAACAGATGCGCAACTAAAGGAGACGTGCCATGCACACACCACGGAGCACCGCTCAGCCCTAAGGAAAGACAAGTCGGAGCCACTCACGAAAACACGGCTCCGCCCTGAGGCCACAATGTTAAGTGAAATAACTCAGTGCAGAAGCTTAAATATAACACGGTTAAAAGAGGACACACGTATGTGTATGTGTACAGACATTTATGTATGTATAATAAAATAAAATTCAGATAATAGGAAAAAAGAGAAAAAATTGTAATCCAGCACAATGTAGCTACAACTATACCATGACTTAGTATGACTGTCTTATATATTTTATGTGTTCTTTGGCCTGTTAGTCTGGTTTTCAATATATATACATGATAGTTATAAGGCTTTGTAAAATACATAAGTACATTTCATATTAGAAAAATAAAAGAGTAGGGCGAAGTTGAAAATAATTGAAATGTTTTATGTACATGTACCAGTTCACTACAGTGAATGTAATCAATATGAACTGCAAAAATGTACTAATAAAAGTTTTTTAAAAGTCGAAAAAAAAAAAAAGAATATGTGAAAGAGTACAGGGTGAAAAGCACTGCAAATTAACTTACCCATACCATGTCATTTCTCTGCTAAATTACATCATCATTCTTTTCTTCACTGGTGGCCCGAAATGATCAGTAACTTTTTTTTTTTTTTTTGTGGAACCAGGGATTGAACTCAGATCCTGGCGTTTGCCCACCAAGCACTTATCCTACTGAGCCATCTCCCTGGCCCCTAAGTAACTTAATATTAAACAGTCTTTGACACACTAACTTGGTTAGCAGCTGGTAACTAATAGTACTGCCCCAAACAAGAAAGCCGCTAAGTAACACCGTGGCACATGTGGCCTCTGTGTCAAAGAGCCCTCTATCCTTCCCCTGAAGGTGTCAGCAGGCGGGAGATGCAGCGCAGCCCTGCGCCCTGTGCCCACAAGGTGTCTGCGGAGCGGATGGTGGAGATCTGCTGGCCCCCAGTGGCCGCCCGTGCAGCGAGCGCTGACCCTGCTGGTCACAGTTCTTCCTCCGCAGCCTCTCAGCAAACCCCTTTCACAGAAAAGATCTCTATTATTCTTAAGCCTCTGGGAAGTTTAGACATTTTTCCTTTTCAATTATTGTCTCTTTTGATTTAAATCGTTTTTGTTCTTTACCCTAGCCTAAATACACACATACCATTTAGCCGTCTCTGGAGTGCTTCCTCCTCCAGGGTGATAATATAAATTTGCTCGTCCAAGTCTTCAAGAATCTAAATTTAAGGATAAAACTATTCAATAATGTAACATTACAAAGTCTGTTACAAAAACGTTTAGGCTACTTGGTCTATTATTTTAGATAACATATTCACTGAAATAACTAAGAACATAACATAAAAATGCTCAAATTATTTTTTTCATAAAGTATATATTCCAGAGTTTATATTTAATATTTTCACATATAACTAAACATCAAAACTTGATTACTTGAAAATCTACAGATATTTAAATTAGAGTGGGGGCAGTAGTGGAGGCCAGGGCCTGTGCACTGAGCTCTTTCTCCAGTCCTTTTTTTCCTTCACTGAGACAAAGTCTCACTAAGCTGCCCAGGCTGTGATTCTCTTGCCTAAATCTCCCAGAGTGCTGAGTCTACAGGTGTGCACTATCAAATAAACTGGGTATTCCTTAAGTTTAAAGGATTAAAACTTAAAAATCTCCCGATTTATCAGTGGCAGACAAAAGTATAAATTTTAAACAGCCAAAAAGCTAAAAACAAGAAGAAAGAAAAAGAAGAAAAGGAAGAGGAAGAGGAAGAGGAAGAGGAAGACGAAGAGGAAGAGGAAGAGGAAGAGGAAGAGGAAGAGGAAGAGGAAGAGGAGGAGGAAGAGAAGGGGAGGAGTATACATCTTTACGCCCTGGCCGTGATTTTTGAGCTAGAAGAAACAGATCTCCTCGTGTAGCTCAGTGTCTGTTCTCCTGTTTATATTTACCTGCACAGTGACCAGTGTGCAGTCAGTGACACCAGTGATGTGCACAAATTTTGCCACTCTGTACTGGAGGTGCTCCATAAATGGAGTCGTAACAGCCACCTGGTGTGGACATGACCAAAGCAGGACACATGCATGCACAATCACAGGAACCCCACTCATGGTGCCATTGATTCCTAAGTGCCAGGGCCAGCCAGACAGCTCAGCGGACTAAAGCTCCTGCTTGGGCAGACGCAGGGGCCGGGGGTCCATCCCTGGGCCTGCCACGCAGGCACCGCACCCAGGACACGCTGAGACAGGGATTGAGACTGGGCGTGGTGGCTCACGCCTGTAATCCCAGGGCTTGGGAGGCTGAAAACAGGAGGATCACTATGAGTCCGATCTGTATAGTGAGACCATGTAGACCCTGTACTAAATACAATAATAATAATAATAATAACACATGCTCAAGTTTATAATTTTAAAAAGCAAATAGGCTGAGAACAAAAAAAAATAATAAAAGTTAAAAACTAAGAGGTTATCCAACAGAATCCCAGCGAAGTGATGTGTCTCTATAAGCCATTCACTACCAAACCCTTTAACTCACAAGCAGTTACGTAGGTACTGTCTGCACTGTCTTCACAAGCGGCAAGCCCTAAAGTGCGCTCACCCCCAGCCTTGCTAGCACAGCTACCCCCTCGCTCCCCGCCCCACCTCCCCGGGGCTGGGAGAATGTGAAAGCAGCTGAGAGCTGAGGTCTGTGCTCTCTATCGTTCATACACAGCCAATTTTTTTTCTTTCGGTAATTTTATTTCCATATCCTTTTTAAAACATAGCACCCTATTTTTGTTGTTGTTCTTGTTTAAAAAAATGGTGAGCTCATTAAAAAGGAATACTGAACAACTGAGAACACTCACATTTACAACTCCATCTTCTGTCTCAAATCTTTCTTGATACACACCTTCATTGTATATCAGCAGACCAAAATTTTTCCACACCGTCACCGGAGCGTAACACTAAACTATCAGGTAGTTTTCTGTCCTGTGATTTAAGTTCAGAGTCCAACAAAGCAACCAAAACAACTCAGATCTAATATTAGCCTCTCAGTAATTACAGTCTCCCCATGAGATGTGAATATAAAGAGTAAGTGGTGGTGTCAACCTCAATTAGAAAATCTTTTTCAGCAAAATGGGCTGAGACCAAAAGTCCAAGTGATGGGAAAGAAAAAAAGGAGCGTCTACCCTGTAGGATGCTCATAACTTGGTCCCTATGACAGCAGCCCTTTCTAGAGGTCATCACATCATTAGGCTGTGGCAATGTTCCAGACACACCGACAGCCCAGGATTAACACCATCTGGAAATTGTTCAAATGACACAAATGTCAGCTTTCTGCTGTGCAGGTTTCAGTAATGCCTCTGTCACCAATTTGTTGGGTTGTTTTGTTTTTTTTTTCAAACTTCCGCCTCTCACATCAGAAAGAATACATAAAGTGCAAGTAAGATTCACTCCTGCGCTCCTAGGCTCTTGCTTTGGTAGCCAACATCACCAAATCCATCCTTAAACCGCTGACCAATGAAGTGTCTACAGGCATTTCTGGAGTTACCAAGTCAGTTCATGTCTGGCAAAGAGAGTGTCGGAGGTCAGTGCAGTCCTGGCAAGAAAACAGGAAGTACCACACACAAGACAGGGATGCAAAGCCAACTTGTTCTCAGCAAAATACATCTGCGTGTCTCTCAGCTGTCTGATGAGACAGTCTCAAAGCATGTGGTCCCTTTCAGGCCTCAAATTTATTCAGTTCATGTAAAATTTATGTCAAGCAATCCAAAACTTCCCAATCTCTCAACAAACACCTGAGGTCCCCTGTGGCCTAGCACCCAAGTAACTTCTGGTAGACATACGACCTCTACCCTTGGGAAGCCTAAACCTGAGAGAGGAGAACAAACAGTAAGAACAAATCAATACAAACAGATGAGTAGTGACGGAGAATGCTCAGCCTACGAGGCAGAGGAAGGAAAGCAAGAGGCCTGTCCGGGGACAAGACAGCTGCATGGGCCTGAATACACATGGTCCTGAGTGGGGTAGACGTGACCCCAACAGGACAGATTGGACAGTGGTTAAGAGCGGGGACCCTGCCAGTGTTCCTACACATAAGTAGGCGGGGCCCACCTTTGTGGGCCACGAAAGGAGTCTCTTTCTATCCACACTTCCCATCATTTCCACTGTCTAGATGAGAAGTGACCACTTTTAGCTCTCAAGTGGACTTTTAGCTCACTGCACAAATTATCAAATAATGACTATGACCACAGAGACGCATGACCTGAGATGTCACAGGGATGTGGTGCCTGGGAACGTTGCCCCCCCCTTGCTTTCGACAACTCTGTGAGAAACAGACCGTCATCACCACCTTCTACTCCAAGTAAAAGAAGTTTCCCAAAAGGCCTACTTTTATAACGACTATGGCTACCGAGGGCTCAGAATCAGGAAAGACACCATCTCAACCTCAAATGGTACCAGAAGAGAGAAGACGAATTAAAAATTACAGGGACTGGGGAGATGGCTCAGGGGAATAAGCGCTTCCCTGGCAAGCGCAAGGGCCTGAGTTCAATCCCCGGTTCCGCAAAAAAAAAAAAAAAAGTAATTACAGGATTAAAATAAATGTCAAAACCAAGTCTTAAAATGTTACACAACATCAGAGGCAGAAAGGTTACTTCCAGTAGGGAAGAGAGGAGTTCAGCTGGTGCTTCTGGTGGCTGCGGCAGCTTGCCCAGGAGCCTGAACCACCAAGAGGAGGGTAGGAACTGCACACAGGGGAAGCCCCATGAGAACACAGCTGTGCACAAGAGCAGGGCCCTGCAGCAAGCAGTGGCCATGCGGCTCTGGGGCTCTCAAAGCAACAGAGTGGCGCTCCTCAGCCCAGCCTCAAAGCCAGCCTCAGCTCGTTTTGGGAATCATGACGTGCTACCCAACCTCCTGACCTGAAGAGAACTCAGCCATCAAATGAGAACATAATCACCTACCTCACAGGTTTGTCATCAGGAGGAATGAAATTCTGGGTACCAATACAGTGTTTGTCACTACATGTGGCATACAGACAAGAACTGATCACTGTTACTGGCAAAAGTCACCAAGAGTTTTGTGGATATTGTTAGAGACACATTTGGGCTTGAGGAACAGAGATTAACACACAGTTTGGTTTCACGAGGTTGAGTCTGCAGCACCTTGGAGTACCAGTGATGCTCACCACACCACAGTTACTTCCACAGTCTCTTCCTCGTTAGAACTAGAAGCTGAGGCAGGTGGAGCCATGGTCCAGAGCATAGTAGTAACTGAATGTTATATCACACACAGAACCCGAAATATCTCTCTAGGAAGTAGACACGGAGAAGGGGATTTAAAAAGCAAAGAGGGGCTGGAGAGATGGCTCAGTGGTCTAAAGCACCTACTTAGAACAAGCTTAGCAAAAGCATCAGGGACCGTGGTTCAATCCCCCAGCACCACATGCCAGCCAGCCCTGCCCCCTGGTGGGCTGAGCTGGCCTCTCTCTCTCTCTCTCTCTCTCTCTCTCTCTCTCTCTCTCTCAAATAAATAAATAAATAAAATAAAATAAAATAAAAAGCAAAGAAGCAGAAAGAAAACCTCTTTAAGAGGGGTTGTGAATTTCAAAGTTTGATGCATGCACCATGCTATTCTGAGTGTGCATTCATTTATTCATCAAGTAAGATAATAGGTTTTATTTTAATTTATTTTTTTTATATATTCCGCTGTTTATTTATTACATTTATTTTATTGTGTGTGTGTATGGCCAGCTCAGCCCACCAGGGGGCAGGGCTGGCTGGCATGTGGTGCTGGGGGATCGAACCGTGGTCCCTGTGCTTTGCCAAGCCTGTTCCAAGTAGGTGCCTTAGACCACTGAGCCATCTCTCCAGCCTAATTTCTTTTTTTTTTTTCTTTTGGTGGAACCGGGGATTGAACTCAGGCCCTTGCGCTTGCCAGGGAAGCGCTTATTCCACTGAGCCATCTCCCCGGCCCCAATAGGTTTTATTTTAAAAAGGATGAAAAATACAAAACTTCCTAAATCAAACAAGCATTTACTAAAAATCACCTGTTCTAACACTTTCTCAGTGCTCTCCCTTATGAATCACCACAGAAGGGAAGAAAAAAAACCCCATCACCAGATGACTTGGGAAGTTGTGCTAACCACACAAGCTAAGGGGAAGGAAAAGCAGCATGGCAGAGTCTGATCACGTGTGCCTAGAGAGGGGACAGTGCTCCAGACACTCGGGGGACTACTGGGGCTGAGCAGGGAAGAGGTAGAGGGTACAGGCGGCCCAGAGAGGGAAGCACAGCCAGCACGGGTGGGGGCGGGGCGGGGGGCTCTGAAAGCCTGCAATAGGCAAGTAGCTCGGACTTGAGTGCATAGGCAAGGAGGATCCAAGAAAATAAATGAAATAACAGACACCCTACATACAGCTAAGAAGTCAGTTTCATATTATTAAATACCTGACAAAATAAACACCAAAGAAATTTAGGAATAATCATTAGAATTAGTGCTAGTTGAAAATCACTTAAAAATGCATACATAGTATGCCCATTTTTCAGGAACATACCTACTCTATAAAAATCACAGCACAGATATGATAAGTTATTATATGACATAAGGCAATGAATATCTAAAATACCTGTAAACAAGAGCAAATTTTACCTTAAAATTGGCCAGTTTTACTTAGGTGCCTTTAGTCTTTCTAAAAGCAAAAACATTCAATTTCCAAAAATACAAGGGACTTTAAAAAAAATAGTAACAATCTGAGAGACAAGCCTACAAAATACTCTCAAGTTTTTCAGCGCTAGCTCACATCGAAGGGCTACTGAAGCACGAACACATGCATGGAACCGACCCAGTAACTGGTAATGAAGTACTTACTGTGGGCTTCACCAGCAGCTGGCCCATGACTGTGAACATGCGGGAGAGGCCCACCGGTGTGCACACTGCAGGGACAAGAGCAGACAGGACCTCAGAGCTCAGACAGAGAGGCTGGCAGCCTACAGGGAGACACGCTGGCCCGAGCATCCTGGCCAAGCGCACTCACGCTCCCAGCTAGAGGCTCCCGGGGCTCTGCCCCAGGTCTTCAGCTTCGCCAACAGAGAAGCTAAGGGGCCATGTGAGGAGGTCCGGCATGTCCACATTTAATAAAAGCTATATGCAGATGAAAGGTGGCTCAAGATAGGCAGGATTCTAGCAGCTGAGTAGCAGTAAATATTTGTGCTTAAAAGAAAAAGAACAGACTGCACTAGAACTGAGACCCAGAATTGACACATACAGTCTTAAGTCCTCGAAACTGTGTTTCCCAGCACACAGCACCCCTGAGCCGGGATGTGATGCCTCAAGCAGGGTGAAGCAAGTTTTCACAGAAAGACACAGAGTCTTCACACGGGAGCCAATGGCTTCCACTCAGGAGCAGACTCAAGTGCCACGATGGAGGCTGGGCGGCAGGCTGGGCACGGAGCAGCTGGGTGTGTGTGTTGGGGGAGGTCTTCTCTCCTCACCCCAGTGGAAAACATTTACTTTGGAGAACAAAAAAAACCCTCATTATTTCAAGGCTTTAGTTTATCAAAATTTATCTTGAACAACAAAAACTTTAGTGCCAACTCAAAACAATCTCCAAGTTGTTAAGGAAGCTCACCAGGAAACTTTCCTATTTTTCCAAATATAGAACAATTCTACTTTCCTATCAACAGTAAATCAAAAAGTACTTACAGAGAAGTAACAAACATCCCATCAATGATATACAGGAATATAAATAGGGTAGGTAGAACTCCCAGAGATCTATAAAAATATAAATACATTTTAATAAGTTTAAAATACTGTACATTAAATGCTATAACTGTATATTTTGGCTGTATTAATCCATATAATTTCTAAAATGTAGAATAAAAAGATCTAAAATGCAAGAGCAGGAAATAAACCTTTTGTAAAACCTATTTAGAAGTAGGAAAAAGGTCTCTATGGAATTTTAAAAGAAGTCAATTAACCAAAAGGAAAAAAATATCTGAATTGCTGCTTAGTCATTCTACACGCATGAAACAAACAGTAATTACCTTTTCTGCATGTATCTAAAGACATCCCAATTCCGTAACACTGCGAGGTAAGTGTGCCAAGATTTAAAGTCCTAGGTAACTAATTACGCCCCATCCCGCGGGGTCCAGGACAGACACTGGTTACATCAAGGACATCTGTACCATATAAAGACTCCATGCTAGCTGCATCGTTGTCAATCAGTGCCGAAGCCACCCAAACTATCCCGAGAATCAGTAAGGCAAGAAGCAGCAGCATGACAAGCGTCTCCAAAACACGGGCTCGGATTCCCTGAAAATGTAATGGAGGTGCGATTTTAATATTTTCTTTCACAAGCAATTAGACTTCAGTCTATATGAAAACATAAAATAATCTTTGAGAGGCAAGAAAATTTATAAAATTAAATTTATATTAGAAAAACTATAGAAAATGTTTTAAGATTGAAATAAGTACAAAAAATCTTCATAAAAACATTATACGGCATTATTTTAATAACAGATTACTTTCTCAACACCTTCCGAAGGGGAAGCTGATTCATAAGAATTTTTCTGCTTCTGAGGGAGGGCTCGGGCAGGCGGACGCACAAGGTGCCCTTCGCTGGAGGGGCTCGCCGTGCAGCTCCGCCAGCCTCCGGGGCCCTCTAGCGTGCAGTTGGAGAACTGTCCCCACACACCCGTAATCCCACACTAGAAAGGCCACGGGCGGCTACCAGTTACACATCACACCTTTTGTTCCTTTTACTCAGGTACGCTTGCAATACAGAAGAGTGGTGCTTGCTGCGGAAGACAGCAACGTGTTAACACACCCTGACCGTCAACCTCATCCCTCCCTCCGCCTCCCTCACCTCTCTCCTCTCCTAGTCCCCCTTAAGGCCCACCTTCCTTGCTTCCCACCACCCCACCTTTATTCATGCATTCATTTCTTTACTTTCTAGGTTTCTCTTTTTTTCAAATCATTTTCATTAATTTATGAGGCTGGAATATACAGTAAAGAATCACTATACAGGACCAAACTATAAGTCAGACTTTTAAATTGGAAAACAAGGCAAGACAAAAAGAAACTGCCTCATACTCCCAAAAGTCGCCATGGGACTGCTTCTGTTTGCACTGAATGTGGAGTCCATACTGGTATTTTGTACTTGCAATATCTAACACAACAAACGAAACAAAGTATTTCCGAGCTTCTCATGCATCATGTAACTTCCTTCCACATTACAGCAGTTTAAGGGTGTAACTTACAAGGACACAACACACTCACTCACTCCCAGCGTCTGAACTGCAGGGTGCAGCAGAGTTACTTGCAGGAAATGCCTACCGAGCAGCGCTCCGGCCCCACAGGGGCCTCAGCGGGCAGGGGCGTTTTCTCACCAGATCAGGCACGGCACAGGGCTGCCTTAGCAGGCTTGGAGTACTACCAGATAGGCACCACTGCCCTCGGGGCACGCCTTGCGGGAGACCAGGGAGCCAGCAGGAAGCGGGTCTGCCTCTCCCCAGTCACCCTGCTGGCAGGCAGCCCCAACCTGCACTCAGGGGACGCACTGCAACCCGGCATGCTATAGCCAAGACACACTGCTACTTCTGTGCGGTCCTCAATCCTCCACCATGGCTCCCAAGCCCTTCAGCGGACCCAAACATAACCACCGCCTTTCAGTGGCGATTTCTTCAACTCTTTCTTCCTCTAAGCAATAGCCTTTTTATCACACATTAAACATTTTGGGATGTGCCTATAAATAAGGCAAATAAGAGGAGAGTGCAAACCTGGGTGTGGTGGCACACACCTGCAATCCCAGCACTTACTACACCCCGGGGCAACTGTCTTCACCACCCCCACAGCCCTCGGGAATACGAGCTAACCAGCAGGGCTCCCCACCCCACCATGCACGCTTTGTGCGTCAGACTATCTGAGCTATGCAGTGCAGCAGTGCTGGGCTATAAGATTCCTATCTAAACAGTGGGGCTTCCAGGAGCCATCTGAAACTTGTTGTCCAAAAAAGAGTTTCCAAAACTGGAATGCTAGTGAAGACTGAACATAGGTGGACAGTCAGATTTTTATGTAGAAAGGCTGAGCAGACAGTCTAAACACTGACATGGCATCCCTGCTTCTTGCCCAGACTCTGCTGCCAGTGCCACGTTTGGCTGCTCTACGCTGCATGTCAGTAGGTGACAATCACAGTACACTGACATCACTCCACCAAGCAGCTGGCATGTAGGTCTCCATGGTGATGCGCGCGCACGCACACACAGCTGTGCTGGACACCCCACACGCTGCAAGGGAGGTGAATGCTGCTCCTTCTACCGCATCTCCACCCCACCGAAGAGCCTAGGAAAACACCTGCGCACAGAGAGCACTTGACATGAATATCAAGTCTCTGGTCTCATGTAATAAAAGGGTCTCTTAGTAACATTAGCGTAAGGTCTGATGAGCACGGCACTAAGATTGTACCACACACATAAGAAGTTGTGGGGATCAACAGGAGCACGAGCAAAGAAGAGAAAATCAAAGCAGGAGCCAAGGACTTCAGAGAGGAGAAACTACGAACAAGGTGCCAAACACCCCTGTCCTCACAGTAGCCACTAAGAGCACATACAAATGAGCTGTGGTTCCAAAGCCAGGAACACAGCTTGTGATAGCTTCGTTATAAGACAGTAGGGAGTTTCCGAACACACTATGAATCTTAAACACATATTTAATGTGGCCTATGCAAAACAGAAAAATTAAAACTAAGATAGATACTCTAGCTATTAAAACTTGATGAAAAGAATTTTAAGTACATTAAAAGGAAAATGCTAATGCTGCAATTTCACTGAACTAAAAGAATTTAATTTAAAAAAAATACGATTGCTGTCTCAGTGAACTAATATTGCTATTTCACTGTATTAAAATTCCAGAGTAGAAATTTGCCATGATATTAGACAAAAAGCATCTAGACAATAAGTGAATAAAATAACAAATTCTTAATATGTAAATAAAAGAACTGAATCATGAAAATTCTTAAATATAATCATAAATTTAGAAAAAAATTTCTCAGAATACTATATTACATCAAAACAATTAACTTCAGAAGGCCTTAGTTATAAATCTTGTGGGAAAAAGAGACAGGCACCACCATACACAGAGCTTCTGCCAGACGCTTTATTTGTGCTGAGTCTTCCCAATAAATTAGAAGGTAAATTTTACCACCATGAGGAAGTTCTAAAAAGAGTTAATTTGCCAGCAGTCACAAATTCCTGGCACAGCAGAACTTTAAATACAGACCTGCCAATCTCCCACTCCTGCTTTCCACCTCCCCAAATGACAAAATGTAGGCAAAACAATACAGAAATAGGGATGTAAGCAGGAGTGTTTAAAACATACTTCTGACAAAACCATAATTTTAGCAAAGACCTTTAGCAAAAACTCAAGTTTCTTTTACTGGAATATTCATGTCCAGGTCCACAGTAAATAGCAGGCTCATCCTGACGCTCCTGCGCAGCCCTCCTGGCAGCCTACTTCATCAGAGCACCTTAGCCAGCATGCAGCAGCGTGCTGCTCGGGCCCCAAAACACCACACAAGTGCCAATAAAGAAACAATGAAAGGCCACTAGGATTACTGTTCATCACAGATTTACAGCAAAGCAATAAAATATTAAGGGTTAGAATATAAAACAATGCCACATGACAATATAAAGTGTCATAGTGCTCATGTAGTGAATATATTTACGCAAAAGCACTAGCAATTTCAAAATACAAGAAAGAGCTGCCTTTCACGGCAGGGAGAAGAGGACTCATGCACACAAAGCTAACGGTGCCTCGCTCTCACTGGGAACCAGGCCCTCGGGTAACCCTGCTGGGCCATCTCTGCCTTTCCTCCATCTCTCTCTGACTGGTTTTGGGGGTGTGCACATGTGTACTTGGGCATGTATGTTTATGTCTCTCCGTGATAATGAGAAAACAGGGACTTCAGGGTGTGTGTTATTAGCCACTGTGTGGTTTAACGTGCGCCTACGACTGAGCAGTGAACGTAAGAAGCACGTGTTCACTCTGTGTGCCTACTAAGCACATGCCAAGACACGACCCAACCTGAAAGATCACTACGACTGTTGCAGCATCCGTGCGGCCTTCCCAGACACACCAACTTCCTGCACCAATCTACCCCAAAGTAACCACAAAACACTAAAAATTAGTAAAATACACTGAGCATAAAATCCTCCATTCAGCTGTCAGGGAGATAGCTCAGCAGCATAAGTGCCTGCCTGGCAAGTGCAAGGTCCCGACTTCCATCCCCAATACCACGAAAAGCACAGGTTCAGTAGCAGTACACAGGCCCACAGGGGCGGGGTCATTTCCAGGATCCTCCCATCTCCACCCACCCCCGCCCCACGCACCCCAGCCCTGGTCAACTCCTCTACTTCCCACCTCTGTGACCACGACTCTCTAGACACCACATCAGGATGGATCGCGGGTATCTACTCTGGGACTGGCCATTCCAGCCAGCACACCAAAAGGTCCACTTTCAGTGCACCGCTGCACGTATCCAAATTTCCCTCCTTAAGGGGCTGGGGAGATGGCTCAGTAGAATAAGCGCTTCCCTAGCAAGCACAAGGGTCTGAGTTCAATCCCTGGTTGGGGGGGGAACTTCCCTCCTTAAGACAGCCACGCTCCACCGCCTGTCTGGGCCACCTTCTCCTCCACCCAAGGGCGGCTGGGGCTGTCGCTCCTTCACGCACATGAGCAACACGCTGTGGCTGAGGGTGAGGACATCTGCAGGAGGCGCAGCTCTCAACTCTTGTACACATCCACCCAGAAGAGGAATTCCTGCGTCCGGTGGTCCTCCTACTCTTCATCACTGGAGGGGCCACCATATTTGTTTCCGTGTCAGCTACACCATGTTCCACTTTCATCAGTGGCACACAAGCACTTGCACTTCTCTACATCCTCACCACTGAGGCGAGAAGCCACCCCACCAAGTGCGAAGAGGCATCTCTTACAGCACTGATCTGCACTTCCCCAGCTATTACTAACGTGAATGTCTTTTCTTGTACTTATTGACCATTTATATATTTCACTTGAAAATGTCCATTCAAAAGCCTTTACCTGCTGTTAATATTTGACAGAGTAAGTTTCATCACCTTGTTCTCCAATATTCTTGGGTTTTTGCTCTTTCATAAAATTTTTTCTGGATAAAAAACATTCATTAAGGGGCAGGCCAAATAGCTCAGTGGATTAAAGTGCCTGCAGGCAGGCGCAGGGGCTGGGGATTTGATCCCTGGGCCTGCCGTGCTCGTCCCTGGAGGGGGACAGAGAGAGAGAGA